CAAACGTGCTCGAAAAAGACTTGTCCTGTGGCATCCAATGCGTTTCGACTAGTCCCTCAGGGCCCTGTCTGATTTATTGTGGATCATACCCCAGATAAGAGGTTGAGGGGCACCAACCAATCACCAGGCCTCGTCTCCTCGTGCAGCTCGAGATGAACGAAAGATAGGGTGAAATGGTGAATTTTGGGGAGGGGGTGTGGTGGGAAAGGGGACACTCGCACCTGGTCCCCATTAAATGATATCAGCTCTCGCCATCGTGAGTTAATGGTGGCACCATTGGAAGAGGGGGGGTAAGTTTCTATAGTAGCAAAGGGGCAGAGCTGCACTGCAACGCAGGAACGGTTAATGATCCTTTTTTTTTTTTTTTTTTTTCTCTCACCTCGTGGTTTGGTGATAAGCTGCGTCCTGACGCAATATTAATATTATTCTCACGAGGATGGCGGCATGGTATGGACACCGTTAGGCGAGGGGCTCTTTTCATTCGTATCAATTGAAAATTCTTGTTGGACACGCGAGATTGTGGGGGCGAAGAGGACTGGAGAAGAAAAGAGCAAGATACCAATGAGATCAGCGACACGATGGCTGGCATTCTCCAGTTGGACCCTGTTGAAGGGACGCAAGCTGTAGATCAGGACCATTCCCTCTCCATCAGCAGCAGCCTTTCAACATTGGGGTTTTTGAGGCTCATCGGTGGGTCGTTCTCGGTGTCTCGCCGAACGATCACAGGTGAGCGGTCACGACTTTGCCCTTTTCGCAACTCGGCGCTTGATGCAGACCGCCAGGCCAGGCAAAGCCAGTCAAGCCACGACGGCGAGGGCGGGTCTTGTCACTGATCCCTGCCTCGCTCGGCGTACGGCAGTCGAACCCCAGCAAGGATGCCAAGCATCGAAGGTGGCTCTTTCTGCTCCACATGGTTGATCTTGTTTCGGTATTACTTGGTGAGAGAGTTAATATTATCACCAATCTCAATTCCCACTGTAGGTTCATGTCGTTTTCAAGTCATACGGAGTATAATGCGTGTGAGGATGTATTGATGCAACCCATAACACTTGCAAATTTACATTATGGAGCTCGTGCTGGTATGGATGCAGCAAGCTCTGGTCCGGGAGACGCGGCAGCTCAGGGCCGGAGCAATGGATAGTTCAAGTGGTGCGGACGCACCATCGCCTTCAAATCTTCTTGTTCTTTTCTGATATCAATTGATCCTGTCGAAACTCCCCAGGATACGAATCCTATCCAATCCACAATCAGTGCACATGGTCAAGGCCATACGAAGTACTCCGTAGTGTAAGCTGACATCTGGCGCGTCAACCGCTCCTGCGCCTCCTCTAGAAAATGACAGATCGAATCCGTTCCTTTTTGACCTATCGCCTGCCTTAAACCCCCCCGCGTAGCCTCAAAAAAACTTGGGCTGGATAAAACGGTCGTCAGAATAGATGAAATTGGGAATGAAACCATGTACCCCCAACTACCACCCATACCGTACGATGGAGGACGGCACGGGATCTACCTGTCCTGGAGAGTTCCGTGGAGAAAGTGCTTGGTTCGTTTTAGGAGCAGTGCATAATACGCAACGCAAGTTTATAGTGTGGACCAGAAGACAGTCAAAAGGAGGAAATGATATGGAGGACCCGAGTGCGCCCGAGTCAGAGGGTCCCTCCTGACCCCCACGAAACTAATCCACACAGACCAAACAGAAGTCTCACGCGGTTTTGCCCGCTCTTCGAACCGTTGCGCACCATACATGCGCCAGGTATGGATCGATCATCGGGTCTTGCACCGTGCCGTAAAACCCGTGTCCTGGACATCGTGGGGACCGCTATCCGGAACTTTGATCTCTGATATCGGACGCTGGGCGGATATACGACTACACCACATCGTCCCACGCTCGAGGTATCATCACCGAAAAAGGGCTCTCTCTCTGCAACCCAGAACTCGCGTCTGGTAGATCCACCGAACCTATTACCGCACCCACTTGTTCGGCAATTTCTAGAATTTTTTTGTTGGGGGCCGGGATTTGGTTCACGAGGCATGACACATGCGAAACGCCCATGAAAAAAAGAGGCAAAAAACCCGGATGGGTCATGGGGCATGAACTTTCATTAACCGAAGCAGGGTGGATGGATTTGGAAGATAAACCGGATTTTAATCCCTTTGAGAGAAGACGATGACGATGACGATGACGATGACCGGGAATAATCTCGATTGCGGACTTCAGATGTGACCCCGCGATCCCCGCGATGCCGATGAGGGTGTAGCATTAATTATTGAGATTGATATTTCCTAGTGTACTTGCACCAGAGCTTGGTGCATCTCCTCTACCCTTGGGAACACTACACCGAGGATGATAAAGGCCTCCACGAGAGCTTGAGCATTCTCGATCTTTGCTCGCCCCGTGCTTCCTCGGCGCAGGAAGGGAGCCAAATAAAAAAAAAAAAAAGAAAATCCAGCTGTAGCATCCGAATTCGGAAACCCTATGGAGGCGCCCACGATAAAGGGCAAAAAGAATAAAATGGCTTTTGATTATCTCTCGTGCTATTTTTGGCGAGGCCGGCGCTAACGTCACGGTCGAGCCATGCAGCGAAATCGCATCGTTCCACTCGTCAGACTATCGAGCGACTAAACCTTTCCACATTGTTTGGGGTCTTGGCTCCATCGTGAGTTTAACCACGCTGGTGCCGTCATTGCGCCTCGTGGGAGAGCGAAATTTTTCCCTATGACTGTTTTCTTGTTGTACGCCCCTCCACTTGATGGGGACCCTGCCTCGTAACTCAATTAAACTTGTCGATTTCTTTTTTTTTTTTTTTTTTTTTTTTTTTTTTTTTGCCGTGCCAACCGTGCATCCCAAATTCTCCCCTCATCACAAGCAACATGGATGTGGTGGCTCGTTGAGATAAATACTGACGCATTTGAAAGGATGCTTTACTTATAGTCATTTTCATTTTATTTTATTTTTTTCTTTCGCTTTTCTCCTCGTGCGTACTCGATGGAAAGGAAGCGTTGAGTAAATCGGCTTTGTTCCGTTCAGCGGTTCGTCGTCAGAATGTTTCAGAATCTCGGCACTTTTACCGCGAGCTTCGGGGCTTTTGAATCCGAATGATGATTAGTCAGTCTGGGAGAGATTTTGGAGGGTTGGCTGGCAACATTGAGCCACCAACTAATCACATGACCACGATAAGTTCGGGGAGATAACGGACTTGGCCTTCAGCATCCTCGGTTGAATTGATTCGTTGTGTTTCCCAACCATCCAATGGTGCTTCACCCATTCTCCGCGAACTCCGCCCCTCGAGCCTCCCTGACTCCGCCCCTGCAACGTAGCCAACCCCGGATGTAAAGTTGGTCTTTATTCAAAAGATGGCGGGCGGAGAGTTTTTGAATATCCGGCCCGGCCCGCCGGATGACGATCCTATAGGACGAGCGTCGTTCAATGACGTTGATCGTGGCCGCGGCGATCATGTTCCTGATGCTCGTTTGAATCGGCCATTGAAACGCCGCAGGGTCACTGTTGCGTGTTCGAATTGCAGGTACCGCAAATCTCGAGTAAGCAAATAGCCCAATAAGTCCTGCGACTTTTGCCTGCTATTTGAAGTGAAGTCTTCTTAGCAGAGCATGGAGTTTTTCGATCTGACCCAGAAAAACCAACCCATTGTTTAGTGTGACGGGGTGCGCCCCAAGTGCTCGACGTGTGCTACTAACGGTTACGATTGTGTATACTCACAATCGGGCCCCTTGAATACGGCGACGGCTTCGAGGGAGTAGGTCAAGTCATTGTCCCTGCTCTCTGCGCCGCCCTACTCTTAACTAATTCGGCATTGTAGGCACCTAGATTCCTTAGAGCTGAGGCTGGCCTCAGTCGAGCGACAATTGCAGGGCCTCAACAGCCGGGTCGGCAGGATAGAACGACACAGTGGAGACTCGGACTCTCTTGCCGCGCACTCCGATAATGTGGCTTCTCGACGGATCCTAAAAGCGTCGATTGACGAGTCTGAACCCCAGGCCCTCGTTGACTCGGTAGACGCTACCGATGGCGTGGGATCCGTCATATTCACCAAGGAGGAAAACGCCGGGTTTTTCGGTATTTGTTACGCGTATCCCTACGAGATGTTGATTCCCGTCTTCTCACTTCTCTTGCAGGCCCATCATCGAATATCGCCTTCACGCGTGATATAATTAGTGCCACTAGGTCAGTTTTGAAGAGATCTGGGATAGACTCCCTTCCGGACTGGCAAGATGGTGCGGGAGGCTTTAGGCACAGTCACGTCCTTTTTGTTTCTCGACCGGGTTCACCAGTCCCGGGCAGCGTGGGACGCTCCGACGGACTCCATGGCCCGTCTCTTAACCCCTTCGATCTGCCTCCGGCCGATGAGACCATGCGACTTGTGCGTCAATATTTCGACAATACGGGTCTCCTTTTCCCGTATATCCATCGCGACAGCTTCATCAATACATATCAGAAGCTCGCCTCCAGCAACTTTAAAAATGTGCGTAGATCCTGGCTCGGAATGCTGAACATGATTCTTGCCCTTTCTATCAATTGCTGTTACCCCAGCGACCTCTCTCAGCGCCAACGCAGAGTCGAGTCGAATGTGTTCGTTCTACGAGCTATGGCTTTATGTGAAAAACAGATCAGATCTAAAGCGAGTCTAGAAATCGGTTCGTCGAGAGCTTATTACCTCCGTCTTTTCCCCGTGGCAGTCTCGCCTTGTCGCTTACTCGCAGTTTCTTTCTTAGTCCAGTTCCTACTTCTTTTAAGCCATTACTTGCAAGGCACTGAAAGTTCCATCCAGACGTGGAACGTACATGGTTTAGCAGTCAAGGCCTCCTATCAACTAGGACTGCATTCTAAGCATGCGTTGGACCGATACGAACCTTTAGAGCGTGAAGTCCGCGTCCGCACGTGGTATACTTGCGTTCTACTTGATCGGTATCTACAATCTGGGCCTCAAAGTATCCAGCGCTTAGCGTATTGACCGACACCTTCTTTGCCTAGTATATTAAGCATGACACTGGGCCGCCCGCTCGCCATCCCGGATGCTCACGTCAGGGTAGACATGCCGAGCTCCGTTCCACGTGGCGGGTCATCCCCCGAAGACGATCCGTCGGACTTGTGGCTGGCGAGCCCGAATCTCGAATTCTACAACGCAAGTCTGTACGTATTAAATATGACTGCCCATCGCATCATACCAAAGTATCCGTGCCTAACATCACAGTTCATTGTATATGATTATGGGCCGAATCCTAGACGCACTCTACGGGAGCAACCTGGATTGCGACTCGTCGCAGGACGTCTTCAAAATTGCAAGCCAGGTCTTCCAGATTGAACACCAACTTTCAGAAGCCCAAAGAGGGTTTCCTCCGACTCTGCAGCTAGTTGAGATGGCCGATTTCGTGCAGGAGCCAAGATGTCCCAAACCGATTCTGAAGTTCCGCGTGATTTTCACGCTCCGTTACTATAACCTTCGCATTCTAGCACATCGTCCCCTACTGCAAAAGTATCTTGAGATCCTAAGCAACCGAGCCGAGGACACGCACCATCTCAGTTCTCTCCACCAAATCGGTGTCAATAGTTTACGCATATGCATGCAGTCGGCTAGTAGCATTGTCAAGTTGATGATGCATTTAACCAAGTCGAAAGAAGAAGACCGAGCCCTTTTGGGTGCGTGGTGGTTTTCGTTATACTACAGTAAGGGGAAATCTGGCCATGGTCTGAAGTTATCATGGATCTAATGAACTAACGCCTTTCAGCCTTCAACGCGGCTCTCGTCATCTACTCCGGGCTCCTGATTAGGGCCTATGCAGAGGCTCATGAGGAATTTTTCTCGCTTGGAAACATCGAAATCCGACGTGAATTGCTTCATCAAGCTGTCGAAAGTCTCATGTCGTTGGATAATGGAAATTCAAGGACGGAGAAATGCGCGCGGTATATCTTGAAACTCGACCGAGTTTTGGATTCACTATGTGAGCGTAGATCTTCCAGGTGTATCCTAGACTCAGAAAACTAACCTGAAGTCCTCACTTGCAGACCCTTCAGCACGCGCAGAAAGCGAGGCTATTGATATGCCGACAGACTCGACATCGCGCGACGTGCTGGGCATGAGTAGCTCCATGGCGCATTCGGATTTGTTCAACCACGAACACACACCAATGGGCCTGGATATCAGCGAATTGATGGTGCCTGGAGACCTGGACTTCCTGAAATTTTTTGACCCAAACCTCAATATGTCTTGAGAATAAGTCTCCTTCCATGCCTATGTTTGTGTGAACACATTGTAACGATATTAAGAGCTTATTATCAAGTTGAGGGTGGCAGGAGTATGTTTCATCTCCACGAGAAAGTCTCTGCTTGCCATTTTCCGTCCGTTACCTATTCTTATTTTCTCTTCTTCGTAGTGAGAAGGTGAATAAATCTCCCGACCAACGACCGAATAGTGTGTTGACGTGAGAGCTTCGACTCCGGTTGCAACCAGCCGATCAGAGAGACTATGTCGATAAATTAAAGTCATCGAGTGTAAGGACAGCTGGCGCGGTGGCTATATAAGACTACTTACAGTCACCTGGAGCGTCTATTTGCTGTCTTATATTTCAGCCGTAAGTGAGGCAAACATGACATCAAGTGACGAAAATCCGGTATGTTACCGCCATGAATGTTGATATTCGAGAGTAGCCTGATAATTGAGGACATTGCGAGATCCCAAGGTAGGCCTCTGTGTACGTAATACTCCCTCTTCGACAGATCTACTCCACGCAGTAGGTGAACGAGTCCTTCTCCAGGGCTCATGGCCATCTTGAAATGAGAGAACGAGAACTTCAAAATTTCTCCTTCAGTCATCAGACGTCGGACCTTGAGTATGTCCATGTCCCTCGCCCTTGCAGATGGATTATGTCGACTAGTGTGAATAAAGTTGTACAAATATTGTAATGGTTTTCCAGTCAGAATTTCATCAACCGAACTCCATCAACCTGATACTAGACTTGATTCACAGCGCTAGTTCCGTCACTTGGGTCAATTATACCTATCCGAATTGCCCAATCATCACGTCCAGCCTCGTCGATCCTCGTGAAGGGTCAAGGCCGAAGAGGATTGTTAAGTTGGAGAAAACAGCTGCTGAATATGCTCTTGGAGCTATATAGGTTCTGTTTGCAAGTGAAGCCAACAAGGACGAACATGAGAGACCACCTGGGCCATCTGATCCGGACTCGGAGACTGCGAGGGTTGCCAGATGGCCGAAGGGGAACCGACTCTGTGGAGATAATACACCGTTGCGGGGTTCTCGACAGGAAAGACGTAACCTGTCGTAAGCGTCGTGAATGCAGGAAGGATATTCGACACCACTGAGAGCTGTCGCCATTTTTCCTTTCCTTTTTTCCACCACGATGTGATCCCTTACTGACCCACTCGGTGCTCAGTTTCGCAGTGCTGCAGTGACTACTAGACTCTACATTGCCCGTGGCTGCAACGCCCTAGTAGAACTCCATGGCATCAAATTCTTGCCATGTTGACGTCAGAAGAGAGCGTGGCCCTCTTCATATCAGGAACATGTCCGAGCACTACAAATCCACTTGCAGGTTTCGACAACAGCACGGGCGAGAACAATAGTTACTTAGACATGGCAATTTATCATAGCTAGTACACATATAGAATTAACATTAGCGTCCCGACCGACCGGCCTAGTAACTTGTGGTATCATTACAGGTTTGAAATTATCACCCTCCCCTCTTCAGCATTCCTCCGATCGCAGTGTCTCCGATGAACCTCGCCTCTCCCTGACAAACTTGGGCCATGTGTTGGTTAACACCAGGTATTTAATGCTCTTCTCGACTTCATCAAACACAGTAGCGTTGAAAGCATCGGGAATCTCACCCCAGAACAAGACTCCATCCGTGCTGGAGGTTTTCCTCTCGTCCTTTTCGATATTACTGTTTTCAGAGCCAACGGCGGTGAGCTCGGATGAGGATGAAGTCTCTACCATCTCAAATGGGCAAATAGGATTGACGACCTCCTTAGTGTCAAACATGACGCGTGCGGCATCCTCAAAAACAACCTCAAGTCTCCTAAGCTCCGCAGAAGCAATGTTGATGGGAAACTCAGCTCCACGCGGACTGATGTAGTCGTTGTAGATGCGCAGGGCGTGGTTAAACTTTTGTCTCACAAGTTCGCGAGCAATACTCCTGCCAGGCCCGTCACTCGCGTCGTCTATCGCAGCCGGCGGGAGCGAGGCCTTCCACTCTGCAACACTCATTAAGAACGCGATGTTCTCACCCGAGAAATCCTTCAACGCCGAAAACTGGCGCAGAGGTTCAGGGTTCTTCTCCAAGACATATTCGAGAGCTCCAATCACGAGAACGCTATCACTGCTGGAGTAGACTGAGCCTGCCTTGCCCATCCCAGCAAGAGATTTCCAAGAGTCTGAAACGGAGTCATCTACGGGCTTTGTCTTATTCCTTGATTCCCAACGAGCAATCGAATCGAGCGTTTCTTGTTGTAGTGCCCGATGTCTCAGAGTTTGGAAGCAGGGCAGGATTATAGTGAAGATCTCGAGGACCATGATGGAGACGGCAATCCTAATCGGTACACGTTAGACCACAAGGCATTCATGCCATTATTGCGGCAGTCGGGCGAAAAACTGATCTTACCACTGTGGTGGAATGAAATACTCGTTGACCGGGGCCATTTGTGGCACGTAAAGAGCGATCAGCCACATCGGACTCGCGGGTAACCTTTTCAAGGGCAGCAAGGTTAGTATTGCGGAGCCAAGAAGTTTGCCTGAACTCAGGACGAAAAACTAACCCCGCCAGGCAGCAAGCCATGGTCTGAAGGCGCCAGCCATGTGTATCTTCGATCCTACGAGCTTTCCAGAGGATAATGGGAGCGAATATCCAAGCCCAAAAGACCTGCCAGAAGACCGACGGCCACCATTCCCAACCCTTGCCCTGTTGTGCTTTTCGTTCGGCGTCGGTCCCGGTGACTTCGGTTCCCGCAATGCCAAACTCGTCGTGGAATTTGCGCGAGACAAGGAACATAATGGTCGTCAAGAAGAGCTAATTCATCTGATCGTCAGACGAAGGATAAAGGGAGAAGCCGATCGGAATCGTGGGAACTTACCTGGAACATCATGCCAATGCTGACATACAACAACATTCTTGTCGGGTAGTCGAGCTTGCGGTGGATGCGGAGGTACGACGGCTTGACGGGTTCGAGTCTTGGACGAATGCTGGAAATGCTCTCATGTCGAACAAATTTCTTTTGCGCTTTGGAGACATGGAGTAGCTGTGTGTTGGACGCCTGGAAGAGGGCGATGCCGAAGGGGACGTAGATGCTCATGATCCAGTACTCAACCGCCGCGGGCATCAGGGCACCGTAGACATAGCCCAATTGCACAGCAAGCCAGTACAGGTGGAGCAGGATGACGGCGCCGAAGGACAAGGAGAGGGAACGAACCCTTAAAAAGGGCATGTCGCGCTTCATGAAGAGAAACACCATTCCAGAGACAATAATGCCCGTCCAGGCAGCCGCAAAGGCAGTCCAGAAGATACCCACAGCATCGAAGTCTACCCCAGGCGATGGGTTCTGCTCAGTGGCAGGAGAATTCGAATCCCAGCCCATCTTCGCTGCGCCGTTCTGAACAAGCGTACTTGGCGGAGAACGGAGTCGAATCCAGCTTCAAATTGGCGATGGGCGGACCGGTCGATTAAATGGACCGAGCGATTACTTCCGGTGACAGGTCGAGAGTTACCAGGGAAATCACTCATCAATCCGGAGCTGCAGAGCACCGCCTGGTTATATGTTATTATGTCTTTAGGCTGGAGTGGAGGAATCCGATCGGATATGATCCCGACCTCAGTCTCCCGCAGCCAGCCACATTTGACAAGGGCTAAAAGGTTGTTTGGAGGCGTCGCGGGGAAACTGGGAAATGGGAAACCTCGTGTGAAGCAGGTCAACTCGTAGGCTGGAAGAGGTACCTGGAAGGCATCCATGGATGGCTGTCACACTCTGCATTCATTGCATTGTGTTCATAAAAGCTGTCGATCTCTTCACGAATTCGTCGACGAATGCCGATCGCTTCCAAAAATATTTACACTACAGAGCGCTAAATCCCGCCACACCACGCGCTAATGCCAAGCAATGCGCGTCCAAGAAACAACCCCAGTCGAGTCACCTTCGTCGTGGTGTCTGAGTGGCTTGTGGGACGAAAGACCCATGCAGGGACGGTGGATGAATGTGCTCAGAAAGATCTTCCAGTTTTTTCTTCTTTTTCGCCCATAGAGCCCTGAGGCTGGACCATATTATGTCTCTAACAACACAGGTACTCCACTCGGTGATCACAATCCCTGTCCAGGTAAGATGGGGATAAGCACCAGCTTGGGAGGGTTCAACAAGATAACTCCACACAAACCGCTCAGGAATACGACACAAAGATGTTCTTTTCAGAAGCTAATCCGCAGAAATATGCTCAAAAGACGTTAATACTACACAGGGAGATGTAACTACGTCAAGATCGCTCCACCATAGCTCAAGGTGTCATCTCGGGAAGAACCACGAAACCCCTGCTTCGGTTCTCAGCTTGACCAGCCCACTGGACCACGATTTCCAAGCTTGACCTCTACACGCGCATCAAAAATCGTCATGACTTCTTCCTAATGGTATGACTTGCTCATAACTGTCGATCCTGGTAGGGTGAGCCGACAAACAAAGCACACATACAACCTCCGGTCATCGGACGAAATCCGTCTGGTCACCAACTATTACCGACCTCAAGGGTAATCGAACAGCAAATCATCACCAGAGTTACATCCCCCCCGCGTAACGACGAATCCTCCACGAACACCGTACACTACTACGTAATCTTCAAGCACAGAGCACCTCGGTGATCCCCATTCTCCTGGTAGAGGTACTTCCTTTCTATTTTGCCTGTTGCACTCTCGTGGTGTTTCAGCCACTGGCGCACATTGCTTTCCGGAACGAAGGAAAAGCAAATCAATAAATAAAGAAGTAAATAAATAAGCAAAAAGTGAGAAGACAGAATTTTACCAACTCAGAAACCCAACAGATTTGACGGATGGTTCTTGGACCCAGACATGGCGGGAATTGATGAATTTTTGATTACTTCGTACCTTGTATGCCGTCCAAGTGACATTTGGTTTTCGCAGATCTTCAAACCACCTCCCCCATCTCAACCCGTCCCGTGCGCACACTCGGAGGACGGCCTCTCGGACTCCCACGCCGAACGACGATTTACGTGTTACCCCCTGCTCGGTCGCGGCTGCGCTGGTTGATTGAGAGAAAAAAAAAAACCCCGTAGGGGTAAAAGCGGGAGGAAAAGTGATTTGGTGGGGGGCGGAATGTCAGACCTTGGTGCCCTTGAGAATTCTGTCTTGTGGTGCGCACCGCTTGGGCTGCCCTGGCCAGGTCAGTTGGCCAAGAATTTGCTTGCTGCCGTGCCGTGGCGTAAGAAGGTAATGGACCCGAGTAATATCAGAAGCCAGCACGACGAGACCCATGGATCCCAAAATGCATCCCGTGTCTGTCCATATCAGCCCGACTGAGGTTAGCGACGCGAGTAATAAAATACCCTCACAGCTCCACCAAGCAATTCAATGTGCCCTGATCAACCCCGCCGATCGCTGAGGACCAGCAAGAGCGTAGGAAATCCTCACATAACCTCGACACCTACTTGTAGAGTGTCAAGATAGTACTTCGTACTCTGCCCCTCTCGATCTACATCCCTTTGAAAGCACGTTACAGAGGGCGCTACGCACGCAGTCTTGCTTTTTTTAATGCTGTTACGCCGTTGTTCTACGAAGGAAGCATACCAAGTGTTGGGGAGAGTAGAGAATGTTGACATCCAACCTATCGACGAAATAATTCACCTATTCGCTAGACATTACAGCATGGCGACATCGTCGGCTGCCATTGTGAACGTAAACTCGCGAAAGCGAGACCATGAGTCAAGAAAATGACAGAACCGCGGATCATGCCGAAATCGCCAGCCCAAGCTCGGTGCATTGCGACCAGTCACGCCCTCAATCGATGGCTGGGCGGTGCAGCTCCACAGCCACGTTCGATCCAATCCCCTCCATTTGACCAGACGATTGCTGTGGAGTCGGAGCTTGGAGTTTATCTTCTTACATACAGTCGTGTCCCACCCGTGGCTCCGAAGAAGCCGACATCTTAGTCATGGCCCAGGACAAGCAGGGTTCGCAGTTTTACCTGTCAGGTCTCGGGTCAAGGACAGAGCATAGAAAAAGACCCGTAAAAAGTGAATAGTGTGCAAGTATCTTCCTCCGAAGCTGTCAGAGATACCATGTCTGGCAGGGACGAGTCTGGGCGTTTTGAGAGTTGCCCTGATAGCAGTTGGCGGCGCTACATCCCGACTGATAGAGCCCGCCGATTACTACCCCACCCATTGCCCTAGATTCGGTAAGATTGCCGCCCCATTTAAGTGAACCTGCGCTGGGGGGGCATGGATATCTAGTTTATATAGCATGTAGTGTTTTCGTGAGAAGCAGGGTCCTTTCTACTCTATTCCCCTCGGTGGGTCGTTACGCTGCGCCTTGGCGTACGAAGTATGTAAATATATGTTGTACTCCGTACATTCGAAGATACAGAAATCCGTCCATGTGAGAACACTAACTTAGAACCCAGATCTAGAGGCAACGCAGGTTGATAGCTGCACTAAATGAGATAATTGACAAGACTCTACATTATGTCCGCTACCTAGCGCTATTTCGTTCCTGAATCCGGTGGCGAGTGGCATTCGCCGCTTACGATTGATGTTAGCGAGTTGGGCATAAGACATTCAATAAAGATTCTTTCTATCGACCATTTAGTTTCCGACAATTGTCTTCCATTTCGATATCAGCAATACGATAGGGAGAGAAAAAGCAACACAGCGCATGCCAAGTACTTGGCGACGGCAACAGCTCTGAGGATAGATGTTCCTGTAGAATTTGTGGGTGCTACTGAATTCCCATGGCGTGGATGCCGTGCGCTCCACAACCTCTTTCATGGGTTGGTGATGGACAGACAAGGTCGACAAAACAAAATTTATTGGTAAATTGACGAACAAACCTATCTTGCCGGCCGCCTCCAGCTTTATTTTGGCGATGAGGCGACATGACGTCCCTGAGTAAGGTGGTTAGTGACATCTTTCTCTTAGAGAGCCCAGCATCAATGTCACAACATCATCTACGTCCGTATTCTCTAAGACCCCAGTATGTAAACACCTTATGTTAACTTCCAACCTTCATCCGTCTGAAAATGGAGTCATCCTGCTGGGGTTGCCCAATCAATCTCGAAGAGGTCCCTCGGCTCATCTAGCGGAAGTCGAGCTGGTATCAGCTTGTTGAATTCTGGCGTCGGTAACCTGCATCGCCTTGCCTAGCTCCCTCTCCGGCGTGAAACTTCAGGTCCTACTCCATCTGCTGATGGTTGTCATCCTGCTGGCTGGTTCCCATGACGCGGTTTTAGCAAAATGGCCCAGGTATTCGAGACTACAGGACTGGGACTGGAAAATCAGCCCTCTAACCTCTAACACTATATTTCTCAAAGCTACATAGGCCGGATGACGGCCAGGGCGGCTGCTGGTAGAAGGAGTTAAAACAGGCATTGTAGTCTGTACTTTCTCAACTCACTTATTACATATATACTAGGCAGTTCAAGAAATACGTCTGCATCTTACGACATCCTTGAATTCGGAATTGTGTGACAAGAAGCCCGCTCCAAGTGTTAGTTAACCGATGTGTGATATAAAGGGTTGGTGCAAAAAATATCAATTCCGAGAAAGACATAGGAGTAAGGCTTTTTGTGACGAAGACGATAGACCGGTCAACCCTCTCCTCCAAGTCCTATCTACATCGACCAATCCATTTCGACTGTTGAACAACGTGGCCCGTTTAAGAACCTGTCAACTGTTCCATCCAGCCCACCTCAGCAAAGGTAGTAAGTAATAACGCTGGCCCTGCATCGAAGTACCTCGCCGGGAGCCTGTGTGCGCCAAGTGACTCTCGGCGGACTTAGGCCCGTACGGGGAAAACTCCGATTATTCAAGTGAATTATATTCATCACTTTATAATACAGCGTAAAGAATGAAGAAGATGTAGTAGTTTGACGAGTCGGCTCAAAAGACATCCATCATCAAGTTTCTCCCAAACAATCTTCCTGGGCCTATGTTCGAATAATATTAAGCGGTCTAATTGCGCCGAAGATTCGTTGGCCCCAGTTTCGGATATGTAGAACTAATCAACTCGTTTTGCGTCTTCTATATCTGAGGAAAGTAGGATATCAACACGTTCTAGAGCTTGCACCTGAGGCACTTGTTATATGCGGAGAACCCTGAATGCAGCTGTCTGGAAAGGAAGTTATTCCGGCTTCCGACCATACACAACTCGCTGTCGATAGAAAGGATGGAATTTGCCCGAACGAATTTCGCGTCGAAGCTGGGCACAGTACACCGTGACCTCCTCCTTAGTCCACCCGAGAACCATATTGGCCATGAAAAGCACATAGCCCTCGTAATCTTGCTCAAGAGCAGCTTGAGCAAACTGGCCAATTTGCTTCAGTCGCGCATCTTTCGCCCAGCCTCCGATTGGGGCCTGTAGGTCGGAGTGAGTTTTCTGATCAGTGGGGGGCTTGGGAAGAACTACCTGGCGCTCACCTTGAGATCCCAAACCTTCACGTCAACAAAGCCTGCCTCTTCCATTCCCTTCTTCTGGAGCTCCTTATCGATGATTTCGAAGGTGCGGTTCAAGGCCTTGCCTCCTTCGATAAAGAACTTGCCCCATTCATTGATAGCGCAGGTCTCTGTTACTGTGCCATCATCGCTTTCCATTCTCGGAGAGGCTTCATAGCTCTCGACCCAGCCGCCGGGCTTGCAGACCCTGAAAGCTTCCTTGAACAGAGCGGTCCAGTCGCTAATACTTCCGTATAGGTAACGCATGTGTACGTAGTCCATGGAGTCCGGATCAAAGGTCCATTCTTGAGTACAGTCCTCAATTTCGCTAGTAATGTCAGGGCCAAAGCGGGTCTACGAATAATAGTAGGAAAAGGGTACGTGGAGCTTCTTACAACTTTAGGTTAGGAGGAACCCAGCTAGGCTGAATCGGCGAAATGTCAGTTCCAATTACTTCGGTGTTTGGATATTCGTCGGCGAAGTCACTGCAATTGCGATTAGCGAAACGACTTTAGTTGGCATTGATGCTTCATTGGATGAGTTACATAGCCCAGATGCCTGTAGACGTCGTTAGTGCAACGGGTAATTTTGCCGCCCTCACGAGGATACTGACCCGTTCCGGTTCCAATGTCAACAGCTTTCTGAAACCGGATTAGTGGTTGTCTTCTTGCAGGTCGTATGGTGTATAGATGCTGGCGAACGAACTTGAATATCTTTCTCCAACGGTGCTAGATGAAGTTTCCCTTCCAGGGACAACAAGAGAAGATGGTGGCTGAGGATTCTTTTAGTATAACGCCACACATTTCAGCCTTGACTCTTACTTGATATCCATCGACTCATTATGATGCTCATCATTCGGTGTCCTGGAAAAGGGTTAACGAAAGAGTAGTGTCAGCTTTGACGTGGGGTTTTCTTACCAATACTCGGCATTTCCCCGCTCGGCATGGTAGGTTCTTCCATGAATCGTGCGATAATGAAGAATACTCGACGAGATTGACTCGGTTGAGCTAGCTACATCATCATCTCCAACGGCCGAGTCGGCTTCGTCATCTCTTAGGGCGTCCTTGCGTGGCGTGAGCATACGCGAAAAACTAGAGGATTGTGTTAACCTACCCCTGTTCCGATTGTCGCCCAATGTTGGGCATCATGGAAATCCGCGGCGCGTTCGGCGCTCTCCTGGGCTACAGCCGGCTCAGCCGGCGGTGGTGAGGAGGCCGGCGCATTAGGACTAGTGGTACCGCTACGCTTATGATCTCCCATATTGATTATCCAGAAGAGGATTTTGTTTTCTAGGAGCTCTTGGAATGGGAACAGCGGAAGAGATCAGGAACGTGTGAGCAACATCAGACGAGACTCTCCTAAGTTGGGCCATAAGTGCGGAGTCTATTCCTTAATCAGTCGGCGATTGGCCGTGTTTCATTGCAGCTTGCCGGGTCGCGGCAGGGGTTTACATACCTAGTGCCCCGACCCCAGTCAAATAATCAACGGACGTCCAATCGGCACCAGAAGACTTCAAGCATAAAAAAATGGTCGAATCACGTTGGGCATTTTCGAAGGAACAGGGCTTGCTCTTGCAATCGAGCAATAGTTATTACATTAGCCGATTGAAAACACTCTCGTGAGGATTAATAAGTGTTTTTTACATTGTTCTAGTACCTTGGTAAACTTACTGGCCTAGGCTTCATGGCGGGTTGGCCACCCATACTCAAGCGGAGTACCCTATAACTCGAAAAGAACACCCTATCGACACTCTCGCGCTCGCGTAGGGCGAGGTTTTAATCCAGAGGCATCTGGGAGACTCAGAAAGCGTCGGTCGACCCCGGTGACATCGCCGCGATCCAATCTCTTCATATCTGCGAGACGCCTATCCGATTCTATCCGGACTTGTTCTGGAGAGTATCCACACGCTCGCAGAGCATTATCCCAGACGTCCTCCAGCCCGAGATTCTCTGCGTATTCCGTAAGCGTACACCAACGTGCCCCATCAAAGTGTTGCACGGTGGCGTATACGTCGGCACCGGCGACCATAAGCGGAGTCAATAAAGCCACCGAGTCACGGCGTCTTTGCCTATCCATCGTGCTATCGAGATGTTTTATGAAATCCCGTCTGACTTCTGATTCGAGATTATCCATCGAGAAGATCCAGTCAAGTAGGTCGTATTTGGTACCGGACGGCATATTCGAATGCCAAACGAACACTAGGAGATTAGGAGGACTTATAAATACAGAGTTGCCCTGTTCAATTTCCTCCGGATTGTTATTGCCTTCGAGCTCCTGCACAGGCTCATACACAGCCATTAGCAGTAGGCGGAGGGGAATCCTCAGCGGACTCTCCGAATCATTTGTAACTAGATGGGTTTTGTAGTATTCTTTTATATGACTTGGAGCTCATAATCATATATTCCGTTACTGGAAACTTCGTCGGCATAACGCACATCGTCCGATCGAGGGCTGCTTGTAGAGGCGTTAACTAAGTGTAGAGTCCCTTAGCGTTAGGGTCACCCCCCGCTGCTAAGAACAAGTCCAGAAACCATTTTTCTCGTAAGAGGTCCTCGTAGAGCAGTCCTCCAACTTTCACGCATAGCTCGTACCAGGGGAAGGCCCAAAGCAACTCACTCCCCACCTAACAAGTTCTAATAGCTCGACGTATTCGGCAACCGGTCGGCCAGGGGCATTGCGCCTAACACATTCTAACCAGACGATCTCCAGAACGCAGCGACTCGTGGTAGGCGACGCCGAGTATATCTCACCCATGGCGCGGAGTTGGTTAAGGCTCCGTGACTGGATGGGCATGGTGGTCAACGCGTGCATGGCGGCGTTTTCCAGCATCTCACTGGTGAACAACTCGACAGGCGCGGCACCCAAGTCGCGAAGAATAGCCCCGATTACACCAGAGGAGTTGCATACAAGAGCGGCCCGTTGCGCGGTCAGCACATCTTCAACCCGTTTGACTATCACGCAAGACCGATAGTCAAACCTAAACATACCTCATGAATGAAACGGCCCCATCAAAACCGGTCGTGCCTGTTTATAACACCGGCGTTAATCAGCTCCTAGAATCGGGAAACGTCGTCATATATAATAGCTCTCAATACCTCGGAGTTAGAGTCTATAATGCGGAAGGCAACAGATTTCCAAACATGGACTCATACATGTGCCGGACATTGGACAACCGGGCCTCTTTTAACCTCTTCCCACCAGCAGACGTGGTCAGCGACGTGCTTTATAGCCCGAGATTTCGGTGGAAATCACCAGACACTACAGGTTCAGCGGGAGGAAGTTGTGGCGGACCAGGGCTCATGGACCAACTAGTATTCCTATTCTAAATAGTGAAGTCCTGCCCCTCCCTGGCCATCAGGACTTTAGTGCAGATCGCGTTGATCTTGACGTACTTGTTGTAATTTTTAACTCCGATGATAAATGGGTTGGGTTGACGTCGTGTGCGATGCGCCAGCTGATCCGCGTTGTAGAGAGCGTGGTCGGCGATCTGGTGATTAGACATGAGCGTGTCGGCGCCCATGGCATAAGAAATCCTGGCAAGCTTGTAGCCCGACCGAACTTTCTCTTCCCGGTCAGCCAGGGCCCTGGGGTTTCCGGTCCCTCTCTGGAACCCAACCACGTGTCTCTTGCGATTCTCGTACACAGGGAAGACAAGCGAGATGCAGCCGGGTGTGTGCCCTGGAGTTGTAATGATATGGAAGTCCACGCCGCCGATGGTAAGGTCCTCGCCGTCGGAAACTGTCTGGTTGCGGAGAGGCGGCGCTGGGTTCGCGTTCGGCCCTAAGGACTCCAGGTTATCCCACGCCGGGCTGGAGGCGTAAATCTTAGGCGAAAATTGCTCCTGCAGGTACCGAACACCTCCGTAGTGATCCAAATGCTCGTGAGTGATAATGACGTGCTTGATGTCGCTTCCCCGGAAACCGAGGCTCTGCAGGCTAGGCAGCAAGATCTCTTGGACCTCAGTCGGATTGTCGAGGGTATCGATTAGGACCAAACCTTCGGTCGTGTTGTAGGCCCACGCAGAGACGGAGGAGTGACAGACAAAGTAGAGGTTGTCGAAAGGGCTGAAGGGCTGCACGAAGCCTGGTGGGTTGGTAAATAAACGCGGGTACTTCTGCTGCGTGATGCACGTGTCCTGGAAGTACTGGTGGATAGACCCGTCGGTGGCAAGGGCCGCAGCTTCATTCAAGAACTGCGTGACATTCTCATGTTGCTCGTTGGGGAAGTAAGTGATATTGAAGAACTCAGAAATCGGTTGGGGCTGGGCGCTGCTCCCGGAGAGGAGTAGTAGAGCCGCAGCGGCGAGGGACTTGGGTGCGACCATTTTGGAAACCTGAGGTGTTCAACCGGGACGACTCAGTGGAGACAGGAAGCGACTTTGGAGATGTCTGAGAGACAACAGAGCATGGTCGAACCGCAAATATCATCATTAAAGAACCGGCTCGGCGGTTTTATATAGGTTCCCTCTATCGCTATGTTTCGTCATTTCGGAAGATCTACCCTAGATGCACTCCACAACAGGCCGCTTGTCCAGGTAAAGGAATCGAACCATAATCGGAAGGTTCCGAAGGTCCTCGCCGCCATTCGGAATCGACACGTGGCTGCTGCTTTTCATGGTTTCTTCTTTTTGCACGAAGCACCGACCCGTGACTTAGGTGATGTGCCAACTGCCGATGTGGGGAAATTAGTCGGAAGCCTTAAGGTTGCACCTACAACGCCCCGCTCCTAAATCAATCTTCGCGATCTAGCAATGGTGCTAAGGCTCAGTGCCATGTTAGGGGTTTCCGCCCGTGCCTAGCGTAGCGAAAGGCGGTTCTTTCTCTATGTACATTTCGTCCACTTGACCTAAGTATTCCCGGTGCGACGTCGTTTTCTGGCCTGGGCTGCGAGCAATTTCTTTTGATTCACAGTTGTCGTGAACGCAGATTCTAGGAGTGGAGCTGCGTATCAATTCCACAAAGGGGCTATTGTCCAAGGCACTAATGATAGAGAAGCTTGAGGGATGCTTCGGTGGACACTGAAATCGGAAGCAGTCTTCTAAACTTCTTCCACCTCTAGCACCTTTACCTGGCAGTGTTTGAAGTGAGCTGAGGCAATGTATAAAACTCCTTAAGACAGTTATACAATCACGTCTCTTATTCATTGAGAAGACGCGCTGTCTTTTATATGTTTGTTAAACAGCTGCAGTTCTTATGAATCGTAGACTAAAAGGACCGTTGACCTAGGCCCTACCTATAGTGCGCGCATGCCCCTACCCAAGAACGTTCTCTCACCAAACTCCCGCTCTGCAACCTGGAACAGGGGCAAGCCCTGGAAGTAGCCATTCCCGACGGTGCCGACGGCCTCCCATGTCGCCCGCGCCTCCTCCTCGCCGATAATTACAAGCGGCTTCCCCGTGCCGGCCGAGCTCGCGTCTGCCGCCAGCTGGATCTGACAGCATTTCTCGAGTAGGACGAACCACGCCACCGTGGCTTCAATGGTGGGCCCCACAGTCAGTAAGCCGTGGTTCCCAAGCAAGGCGGCCTTCTTGTTGCCTAAGCAAGCCGCGATGGCCTTGCCTTCACTTGGTGCCAGGACGAGTCCTGCAAAGTTCTCGTATAGCACATGGTCGTTCCAGAACACACAGAAGTCCTGACTGAGCATGTCCAGGGTCCGCCCCGTTGCACACATGGCGCGGCCCCAGAGGCTGTGCGAATGAGCAGCGCACAAAACGTCTGGCCGCGCTTTGTAGATCTCTGCATGGATGGCATATGCAGCTGGAGTGGTGTTAGAAACGAGCCATATCATACGGAGGAAACAGGAGTCTCGAAATAATGTCCAAGGCATACCGTAATTCAGCCGCTTGTTCTTTCCGCCCTCGACCACACTACCGTCATGGTCGACACGGATGAGGTCCTCGTCCCGGATAAGGGAGAAATGCATACCTGACACTCGGTCAGTTATCTCCGCTTTAGGCGGGAAAACCAGGGCTGTTCTATTGTAAGCTTGCTGACGCACCGAAAGGGTTGACCCAGAAGCTGGTAGGGTCCACAGGATCCCTCAATGTGAGGTGTCCTGCCACGCCCTCAGAGAGCCCAAAGTGGGCGAACACACGGAACGCAAGAGCAAGACGATGCTTCAGGTACCTGCGCTCTTCGTAAGGGTCGTCAAAGCGCGGGGGCTGCTCTGCTTCCTCGTCAACTACAGCAAGACTCGGATCTCCGCTCCGATACTCCTGCTCTCGCTGTTGCCTCTTCTCAACCTCAATCCCAGGCTGCATTCCCGTTGCTGAGGGCGCCATCTTGTCTCGACTGGCTGAAGTTTAGTAGTGGGAAGATTGAGTAGACAAGTGATACACGGGTAGCGTAAGAGCGCCTGTGTCTGTTTTCCAGAGAACTGATTTGCGAGCTACTTATTAACAATAGGATTTGTGGAAAATTTAACGTTGCACCTTCCCCGCAATCCGATGAAGTTCCGAAGCTTCAGCTTCGGAGGTGATACACAATCATACTCTGAAATTCTAGCTGAGTTTTCTATTGTATACAGTGGTGGGGGTCGTCGGAATTCGACCTTAAGAATATTCCGAGCATTCCGAGCATTTCCAATCGCCTCCCTCCGATTGGTTTGTACTAACCTCCGTAGCTCGACTAATCAGTGTTTACTCTGATGGGATCATCGACATAGGTTAAGGTGGAAAGGAATCACATTCGGCCGGTAGTTCGAGAAAGCTCTCTCGTTCGACGGTCGGTGGCGCATCGCCGCCTGTATACTCTAGCTCCACTCCGTCGCTTACAACATGTCGCTTGCGACCTCTTTCAATTATGTTTTGGTTCTCTAGCACAGTCCTAGCTTTGCCCTCTGCAGCCAACACGCAGTGGCTGTCACCGGCGGTCTCCTAGGTCTCTACCAACGGGCCACAGACCATTTCCTACAGCCGTTCTTCGTTGTAGCAGGCCGGATTCCCCTCATCTATATCTTAGTAAACAAAGGGATCCGCGGCAAGGCACGAATCCCCGAGATAGGCGGCCCAAGGGGCCTTCCCTTCATATTAGATATCCTAGATATATAGATCAACGCTACAGAGCAATATCATAAAGTAGGCTAAGTAATTTAGTAATATCTATTAAACCTAGCTTAGGAATATTTTTGTTGTCTTATATTAACTTAATAAAAGCGGCTAGGATAATCTTTAAATAGAATTAGCTAAGCACTAAGTACTAGACTAGAGTTCTATACTTTCTATAAGCTAAACTATATTAATAGATTAAATAATTAGATATATTAATATATACTAATTATAGATATACTATAGATAATTTTTAATATAGTAAGTATAACTATTAGTATATTATTATATAATAATTCCTTTAAAAATATCTTCTACTTTAAATAATAAACCTTTTATCTAAATATATATCTTTTTTTTTAGATATTAAAATATAATATTTTATAAATAAACTCTATATTTATAGCTAGACTAGTAAGCTTTTAATTAACCTTATACTTATAATTTAATAGTTCCCTTTTTTACTTTCCTTTATATTTAATTAAAATAATATATAAATAGCTAATAAAATAACTTCTTTATAGAAATTACCTATATTAAAAAAGAAATTAACTACTTTAAATTAACTATTAATAACTTATAAGGTTATAGCTTATAAGATATATAAATAATATAATATCTACCTAGTACTATAAATATAAACTTAGAAGATTATATTATTAATAATATTTATAATTTTTATATTATCTAAATAAATATTATATTTAATTTAAAATTATAATTAAATAAAAAAAAAGCTTACTTTAATTAGTTTTATTATATTATCTAAAAGTTTAAATATTTTTATAATTTTTTATTATTTAAATTATTAATTTATTTATTTAATATTTAAATATTAAAGATAAAGTAATATTTAAAATCTATAAGTTTTATAAAAAACTATTATATAATTTTAAAAATAATAAGAAATATTAATATATAATTATATTTATCTAGAAGAACTTATAATACTTTATAATATTATAGCTTACTTTTTTATATATATTAATTATAAATATTATTTATAATAAAATTTTAATTTTTAAAAATATTATAATTTTTTTAATATATAAGTATATAATATAAATAAAAAATAATTTCTATTTTTAGTTTTTCTTTTTTATAAAATATTAAATAATATATAGATAATAAAATTTAAATAAATTTAAAAATCTAATATCTAAAATAATAATTTAAATAATTAAAATTTTTTTTATTTACTTATAATATAAATTATTATATATATATAAAATCCTTTTTAATTAGCTATAAGCTATCTTTTATTTATATAAAATTATTTAATAATTACTATATTAAAATAAATAAAAAATTAAATTAATATCTAATTTTAGAAAATATTAAATTAATAAATTTAATTACTTTATTTAAATAATATAAAATTAAATTTATATTAAAAAATTATAAAATATTAATAAAAGCTTTAAAATATATTAAACTAATTAAAAAAAATAATATAATAAAAGTTTATTTATATAAAATTAAAAAAATAATAAAATTAATATAATAATAAAATAAATAATATTAAAATTATTTTATTTTAATAATATCTTTATTATCTTTAATCTTTACTTAAAATAGAAAAATTATTAGGGTTATTAGGGTTAGGGTTAGGGTTAGGGTTAGGGTTAGGG